TCTTTCTATATTCTAGACATTTTATCAATATTTAGCGGAATTCTTCTCTTTGATCTTCCTATAATACAATATTTCAGGGTCAATCCCTTGCTTACTTTCCACTGTTAATTTTCCGTCGCTTTTTACCTCGTCGATATTTATGATTATTCTGACCGCTCTCATTACATTTCTTACATTCTTCGGTATTTAATATCTACCGTGTCGGTCACCGTTTTGCGTACGGAATTCTAAAATTTTTCTCTCGCTTTTCCGCCCACTTATTGTCTTTATTTTTGCAAATTCTAGTTTACTTACCAATGCATTTTACATAATCAATTTCAAACTGAAGAATAATATATAGGTGCTGTGCGTAATAAGTAATGTCTGCTACATATAATTCATAATATTCGCTAGTCGCATTTCACATGTTTCCCTAAAAAGCATGCATCGCTCATGGTTTATAATAAAATAGCAGTATCTAATTCGTAAAATTCTCATTTTCTAGCCAAATTCTTCAAAGATATTTACGAACAGTATAAAAATCATCGTCTTGTTGGTATATATATGCTTCATAAACCATATTTGGTTGTGAATGACCCCAATTTAATCCGTGAGGTACTGGCAAAAGAGTTCTCAAGTTTTCACGATCGTGGTATATTTTGCAACGAAGAAACAGATCCACTATCTGGAAATTTGTTTCAATTAACTGGGAAAAAATGGAGAAATCTAAGAGTGAAATTAACACCAACTTTTACTTCGGGAAAAATTAAACAAATGTTTCTAATTTTAAAAGAAACCGGAAATGCACTGGAAAAATTTTTAGGAGATAAGGCGCAAACAAGATCAACAATTGACGTCAAGGACATATTTGCAAGGTATATACATCATTTATGAAAATAAATATTTTTAGATCTTTTAATGTTTTCTATGAATGCAGGCTGTTTCGTTTAACTGAAGTCGGTGGAATATCTCACGAAGGGTTAAAGTTATCAAAAAAATGTTCTTACAAAAGTTGTTTGGTATCAAGAGGGACATTGCGTAATATAAATAATTTTTCTGTAAGTGTAGTGGAGATATCAAAGTCAAGTGAATTTTTTTAAATAGAACCCTGTATCTTTGTACATATTCATAACATGGTAGCGTTTCTTGAGACAAATACAATGACAATTAGATGAACGCAAGCCGTTGGCGTACTTAAATAAATATTTAAGTGACTATATCGGTTTGCTGCTATACCGTGTCAATCAGGCTGTGCACTGGCTTCTTATCGTCCCTTATCTCTAAAGGTTCTTTCTACGTGACTGCGCTATCCATTTATACCAAATCAATTCTTCCGTTTGTGACCAAATTTTCTCCCTTCTATGAAGGAAGTCCCAGTATTGTAACAAACTGCACGTAAATGGATATTAGCCTTCACCGTTAAGTACGCTAGCGGCTTGCGTTCGTTAAACTACGGACCTAATTTATGACTTTTTCTACATGGAATGATATCGTGTGTAGGTCATTGTCTTTGTCTCAAGAAACACTACCATGTTATGAATACAAAGATATAGGTTTCTATTTAAAAGAATTAATTTGACTTTGATATATCCTCCACCACTACAACTACAGAAAAATTATTTGTACTACGCAATGTCCCTCTTAATACCAAAGAACTTTTGTAGGAACATTTTTTTGATAATTTTAACCCTTCGTGAGATATTCCATCGTTTCCAATTAAACGAAACACCCTGTACATGTATATAGGGTGTCCCGTAACTCCTCGAACACCCGGAAATGGGAGGTTGCTGGAGCGACTCTGAACAACTTTTTCCTTGACCAAAATGTTGGTTGAAGCTTCATTTTTGAATTATTAACGAAAAACACTGGCCAATCAGAGCGCGCGTAGAACCCGCGCCCAGGCACGGGAGCGCAGGGACTCATCCGCGCGCGATCGTGAACAAATACGTACGCGTGACTTCTCGGTTATCGATCGCTGTCAAAAAAATTTGACTTTGTACCGCTATTTTTATAAGACTTAGAGAAATGGTTTTTTGCCGTCATTCCGACGTTTGTATAAATTTTTGAAAAAACTGCAATTAGTCGGAATCGCGAAGAAAAGAGCGAAGGTCGTTTTTACAACTTTTTTATCTGAGCTCGTAATAAACATTTAAAAAATACGTTTTGTAGATGTATGTCATTTATACACACGCTGAAAATTTCATCGAAATCCGTTAATGTTGCTATGAGCTAAAAACGGTTAAAGATTGTGAAAATCGCACTATTTCACGACTTCCGGCCTAGAACTGTAATAAATCTGCAGATTCTTACATCTTTCGATGCCTGTCACTTGTTTCTTCATCCACCGATTTCGACGAAATTTTCAACGTGTGTATAATTGACGTAGATCTACCAAACGTATTCTTTTTTTTTCATGAATAACAAATAAGTCGTTTAGTAACTGTGTTCGATACTTTTATTCGTTATCTGAAAGGAATAAAGTATTTTATTACTTGTGAAAAACTTACCCATTCGTCCACGAATTAATCTGCTTCGACGGAAGTGGGTCAGTGTGTCGATCCTGACCTTTTCAGGCAATCCGAAACAGGTGATGTTACGGCCGGGTCGGCGAACTCATATGATCGCCCCCCGCCAAACGATAGAAACAATAGATATCGACATCGACAACAATAGACGTCGAACACCGACAGAAGACGTCGAACGCCGCGACCCGACATCATAAATAAAACACTTTATTCCTTTCGGATAGCGAATAAAAGTATCGAACACAGTTATTAAACGACCTATTTGTTATTCATGAATAACGAATAATTCCACATTATTCTTAATTTAACACTGCCGGCCGCACATTTCTCGCATCGCCGTTAGGTATGTATTGTTATACAAACATCGGAATGACGGCAAAAAACCATTTCTCTAAGCCTTATAAAAATAGCGGTGCAAAGTCAAATTTTTGTGACAGAGACCGATAACCGAGAAGTCACGCGTACGCGTTTGTTCACGATCGCGCGCGGTTGAGTCCCTGCGCTCCCGTGCCTGGGCGCGGGCTCTACGCGCGCTCTGATTGGCCAGTGTTTTTCGTTAATAATTCAAAAACGAAGCTTCAAACAACATTTTGGTCAAGGAAAAAGTTGTTCAGAGTCACCTCAGCAACCATCCATTTCCGGGTGTTACACTCTTTACGGGACACCCTGTGTACATATTGTCGTTTACAGCGCCGAAAGTTGCTGCCGTCTTCTGTATTCGTCCCTGAGCGCGGGCTCTACGCGCGCTCTGATTGGCCAGTGTTTTTCGTTAATAATTCAAAAACGAAGCTTCAAACAACATTTTGGTCAAGGAAAAAGTTGTTCAGAGTCAGCTCAGCAACCCTGCATTTCCGGGTGTTACACTCTTTACGGGACACCCTGTGTACATATTGTCGTTTACAGCGCCGAAAGTCGCTGCCGTCTTCTGTATAACTTACGCGAAGTAAAATTCCGGCTATGTGTCGTTGGTTTTGAGGATCATTATAAATACTTCTGTATCTTGACATGACCTATATTCGTTGGTGTAAGGAGATTTGCTCGGCTACAGTGATATTTTAGAACGTTAATAACTGAAAAACGAAGTTTCAAACGCAATTTTTTTATGTTTGATTTTCGTTTTACATCGGCTTCTAGAATCACCCTCTAAATTTTCTCCTATATTGTGGCCGAACTTCCTCTATTACATACATCTATAAAGTAAAGCAAAATCTCAATCTTTGATACTCTTATTGTTTGTTTCATTTTAAATACATGCACTTGGTTATATTACGTAAGGAACGTGATACAATTTAAATACTAACAATAAGTTATTAGCTCAGATTTTTTAATATGATACGACTTAAGCTTATTTACCTACTTTTAGTTAATTTATAATATAAACATAATTGTCAAGCACAATGTAAAATAGTTAATTTATTTGATTCTGGAATCGTTCTGGAATCGTCGCATTTTATTATTACGATATGCTTGTATGAACAAAACGTTTACAATATATCTTCCAGATATTCTGTAGACATTATCATGTCAGCAGCATTCGGAATAACATGTGATAGTTTTAACAATCCAGAAAATGAATTTCGGTATTGGGGAAAGAAAATATTTGACCCGAAGCCTCTATGGAACGCTCTTGTTATATGGGCACCACACATCTTTGACCTATTTTCTATACCATATAATGAAAGGGATGTTACAAATTTCTTTACCAAAATGTTTAAAGAAACGGTAGAGTACAGACGATCGAATAATATCGTAAGAAAAGACTTTTTGAACTTATTGAAACAATTGATAGAAAATGGATATGTAGATGCAGATGATAATTCAGACGACGTAAATGTTTCCAGTAATTACTATTTTGCTCCTCATAAATTAATAACATCGAAATATTATAAAGTAATAAATATGCCAATATTAAACAAATCATAATAATACAAAATTATTATTTCATTATTTTAGAAGCAATACAAAATAAATTAACGATGACGGAGGCAGCGGCACAAGCATTTGTTTTTTACTTAGCTGGATTCGAAACATCTGCTACGACAGCAACATTTTGTCTATATGAATTAGCAAAACATCAAGATATACAAGATAAAGTACGTGAAGAAATTCAAACGATGATTAAAAAACACGGCGATTTGACATATGACGCCCTAAAGGATATGAATTATCTTCATAAAGTAATCTCTGGTTTGTATATAAACATACTTCAATAATAATAATGAACACAACTAACAAGAACAGTCACCTAACCCGAAAATTTTGATTTTAACGAAACTTTGTTGCAACGGTACAAGATAGAGCAAAAGCTTGAATGCACAAATTATTCAGCTTTTTTATGATGTATCACCATATTGCAAAAACAGAATTGTCCACGATGTGTAATTTTTCCGGCTGATTCTACAAGTGTCAGTCAAACGGCAGGCCAACTCTATGTAATGTAATACAGGGCCTCTGTTTTATCTCAATACAGTGAAATATCTGGCGTGACAGTGAACGTGTTAATAAGTAAATGTTGTTCAAATTATGTCGTGTTTGATGTCATTTACATCAGAAAAATCTCATCAAATGTTAAGAAAAATTTCGGGATAAAAAAACGTAAAATTAAAAATGTTGGTATTTAAATCGCTTGGTTGCCTCGACTCCTGTTTCATCCTTATCTTTTATTCGCTGTCCTTGTCCTACGTTCGGCAAACTACAAAGGCGGGCGCGAGGCTCGAAAACGTAGTCCCTGACTCTACATGTGTCAGGTTTAGATTCCTTGCGGACTGACACTTGTGGAGAATTTACTGTATTCTTCGAAGATGCATCCTCTTATATTTCATAATGTTTAAGCCTAGAACAAGAAAACGTAACAGCTCAAATTCTTCTTTCATGATGTATTAATTGAAGAACAACGATAAATTATAAAAATAAATGCTTTTAAGTTTGCATTAACTTATTTAGCGAAATAAAGAAAAGACACAAGTTTATTTATGATTTTGCTGGTAAATAATGACACTTACTTAAATGTCTAAAAACATATTATATACTTCTTTTGTACATGGAATTAACTATAATTATTTAGTTGTTAAACACTTTGAATGAAAGACAATTAGAATTTGCATGTGCTTTGTGATATTGAAATAGAAGCATAATAATTTAAGCTTTTGTAGAAATATGTAATTACAAATTTATTTTCAATAACTTTTGAAAGAGTAATTTTTTATTTACCGAAGAGTTTAAAATTATCAAAAAATCATATACATACCTTAACGGCATCGAATAATTAAAAATTTATTAATCTATTTCAGAAACATTAAGAAAGTATCCTCCACTTGTTATTCTGAACCGTATTTGTACAAAAGAGATACAGTTGGATTCGACAAATTTTCGCATACCCATAGGAATTCCTACAGTGATACCTATCTTTGGTCTACATCGAGATGCTAACATATATCCCGAACCGGAGAGATTTGATCCAGAACGATTTTCCGAAGAAAACATAAAAACTAGGCACCCTTATACTTATCTACCATTTGGCGAAGGTCCAAGGATATGTATTGGTAAATATTCTTTCTCTAAATATAATATTTAATTTGCGTAATATAAATGTCACTTTTATAATACTGAAAAAGAAGTCATTGAAAAATCATGACGAATTGAACAGTAGATCCTCGAACGTTTTCACGTATAAATATGTACTTATGTGTCATACTACTGCTGCAATTTCGTAAAATCGATGTTAGGACTTCATTAAGTGCAAAGATAACTTGTAGAACCACTATAGGAATATTCTTACGATATTTAAATATTTTTTGTACGAGTTTACAAAAATCTGATTACTCCGTTCGTTAATTACCATCTTCCTAGTTGTTAGGTGTATCCTGTAGCCGGATTTATGGCATCGTCAATAGGTCACGCGTTGCAGATAACAGGTTTACTTCGGATAAATAATACATGTTTATTGCCTGCATATCGAGTCGCCAGGACCAGACATGTCATAAATCCTGGAGTAAAGGGGCAAAGTGGAAAGTGGCTCTGAACCTTCGCTTCGTCGGTGAGCCACTTTAGGAAGATAAAGTCCAAGCCTCACGGAAATTCCACAGGAATCCATCCACCGAATACTTTCTCCGGTCATTGTTGCATTCTACCCTGAAGATAGTTCATTAAGGATGAAAGGGAAGGAGGTCTCGATGCACCAGGGAAAACCGATTGGTGGTTGAGAAAATTGTGGAACGTCAATCAGGGTAGTTTGAAACACAACCGGAGTCTTCGTCCCAAAAAAACTGAGAGACTCCGGCAAATATTTATTGAACATCGAAAGATACACATAGAACAGTCGTAAGACATATTTACAACTTCGCAAAGATACATTAGAACTGTCAGGAGAAACACTGAGTCAAAATCATTGTAAATAAAGAATAAATAGTTATTTCGTGTTTCACAAGAAACTGGTCCTTTGAGCCTAGTAGGCATACCATGTGCAAAAGCTAAGCCTGAAAGGCAGAAGTCAAAACCACGGAAACTAATACTAGTTGTTAGGTTTTCTGTAGAAACGGTTTATGGCACGATCGACCGGGAACGGTTATTTTTGAGTTCAGGATTTTCGTTTGTTGCTTGCACGGGTCTAATTACATCCTGCGAGGGTCACTAGAATTGCTTTGCTAGATTTTTAGTAATTTCTATCCCTCGCGCTCAATAGCCTAAGAACATGCTATAAACCACGAATTTCCGAACGGCACATCTGTATGTAACGGTCCGCTTGCCGATTAGTCACCCGGAGGAAATTCCAGATTTTTGGGACCTTCCACCCACCCCTCGCGACCGTCTCCCACCCTTCCAAGGTGACAGCGCGCTAAGGGCGCATTGGACGATATTAGACACGCTGATTGGCAAATGCAATCGTTAACCATTAACCAATCAGCGTGTCCCAACAAAAATCCCTCTCACGGACGTCCGAGACGCGACGTCGGAGAGTTGAGTCGTCGAGTAGTCGTTCAACCACCACGAACAAGGAGAACCAAGGAGCAACCAGCTCACATCACGCGATACCATAGATCAGTTTTTGCAAGTGTCAATCATTTGGGTAGTCCTTCGAACCAGTATCTAGACGGCACAACATCGTGCAAACATCCACAAAGCTCGAAAGTTCATCGCCACAACCACGAGCATTAACACTAGTGATTTTTGTAATTATTGCCGATGCTGTCCAATTCCACTCTGATAGAAATACTTTTCTGCAATTCCTTTGTTATACAAAAATGAAGAACAGTAATTCTATTTACATACAGGGTGTCCCAGCTGAAGCAGCCCTTCTAAATATTTCCTTTGTTCTAGAAAAAGAATTTTTTTGTCAGGTCATTTTTTCTTGGTTTTTTCAAGGTCATTGTTATTTTTTATGTAAAAAAGACGTTTTTTTTTTTTCATTGCATCTTGCAGCGGATGAAAAAATACATTTGAATATGTTTCACTGATGATATTGAAATGACCTTCAAGTGACTTTAGAAGTGAGAAATGTAATAAATTTGCCTGAATAATATTCGAACTTACTATTTATGTTATTAAGTGTTCAAAGTGATGTCCGTCGGTATTGATACACTTTCTATTATGTCAGAAGTATTTTTCATATCATAAAAAATGAAGGAAATATTTAGGTGGCCTGCTTCGGCTGGGACACCCTGTATATTATTGATTATAATTTATAGTATAAGTTTATATAATGTAAAATTAATAACTAACGCTTCTAATATTTGACAAATGGTTTACACTGTAGAGTTTATTAAAAGGGAATGTGAAAATTGCAATCATAATAATGCAAATAACTTTATTAAAATAAAATTGCAAAATTAAACAGTTTATTTGTGTTTTACAGGATTAAGGTTTGGCTTGACACAAACAAAAGTTGCTATAATAAGTGCTCTATTAAAAAATAAAGTCGAACTTGCACCAAATACAAAAACTACCTTGGACTTTCAAGAGGGGTCTCTTATATTAATGGCAAAAGGAGGTGTGCATTTGACAATTGTACCAGTGTAATGATTTTACAGGTTTCGAAAATTATAACTGTGATTAACATTTATACATTATATTTATACATATGTACATATGTAGGCGTATAGACATTTTACTTAATCAGCTATTAACACTGCAATATTCCATGTTGTTGTATTCCATGTGTAATATTATAATTCCATGTGTAAATATTGTAATATATAAATAAATGTACCACGCCGTGAAAAATGGATGGAAGTTATTCTATTTCATAACAGTATAGATGATTTTAAAAGAATTGTTAAAAATTCGCATATTTACGTTATCATCGCCACCATTAATAAAGAAACAAATAACTGCAGTCAAATGTTTAGTACTTCATTCTAAGAATCCAATATAGTAATATTATAGTTTGCTATATACAAGGTGTCCCGTAACTCCTTGAACACCCGGAAATGGGAGGTTGCTGGGGCGACTCTGAACAACTTTTTCCTTTACCAACATTTTAGTTGAAGCTTCGTTTTTGAATTATTAAGCGCTCAGGGGCCGACTCTGAACAACTTTTTCCTTTACCAACATTTTAGTTGAAGCTTCGTTTTTGAATTATTAAGTGCTCAGGGGCGGAGAACAGAGGCTCATCCGCGCGCGATCGAACAAACGCGTACGCGTGACTTCTTGGTTATCGGCCTCTGTCACAAAAATTTGACTTTGCACCGCTATTTTTATAAGGCTTAGAGAAATGGTTTTTTGCCGTCATTCCGATGTCTGATCACTTGTGTCCCCTGAAATAATGTAACTTTGTCTTGAGAAGTCTTTTCATACAACAGCAGATAAAACAGATACTTAGATGATCCCATTTAGCCACCCTGTATAGAACTTTTGACCTGAGACTTCAAGCCCTTTCCTCCCCCGCGGTCTAAGACACGAGTCTCCTAGAAAGCCTTACTGACCAGTCCACTATACTCTGTTCAAAATGAGAGTAACCTCGCTTCGCGCGTGGGACGTGCCTAAAGCAGGGCTAGAACCACTAGAACGTCCAAACCCCCACTTACCCACCTACGTTTTTCTCCGTCTTACCCTCCGCTACGGTCTCTGTCTATGCGCAGAACGGACGAGAATCTGTCCGTGAGCGAGGTTACTCTCATTTTGAACAACGTATAGAACGCACACAACCTTTCCTTTTCCACCTATCCTCTCTATCACACATTAACCTCAGTAGCCAATTCAGATGATGCGGTTTTTTTGTCGAATCGATAGTAACCGAAGGTAACATTTACACTGTTCTGTACTTTTGTCGCACGTTCAATTCCTAAACATAAGGATTAATGGATTCAGTATAGTGTGTAATAGCTTATTCACAGTACAACGAATCGTTCATTTGCCGAATCAATTATTTGTCCTATGTATTAGCACCTACATACATAAGTACATTTCATATGCGTGTACACGGTAAAATCACCGATTCGGTCGCTTTCGACATTTGGTTTTCTAGATATGAAGTGATTCGGTAATAAAACCGAATCGGTCGTCATGATTTTCCTTATCGTACTTATAGGAGAGTCATAGGGCAGAGGGCGTACGAACCATGGAAAATGGCGGAAATAAATACAGAATTTTTAATAATTTTAGCAGAACAAAGACTCGCTATGTGGGATAAAAAAAATAGATTCATACAGAGATAAAAATTTAAAAGAAGCAGCTTTGAAAGGAATATGTATTTCGTTAAAAGAAGATTTTGAAAAATTAAAAGAAAAGGAAAAGCAAGACTTCCGTAAGTATTTATTATTATTTTTATTGTTATCTTAAGTTTTATTATTATGAGGCGTATTAGCTTTAATTATGCTTTAAATTAATGACTTATGGCTTTATCTTGCGGAAGAACTGACCCAGCTTGAGAAATAAAATAATCAGCAAATATTGTTCTCGTTGAAGTAGCAGTTCACCCTCCTCGCGTTCTTTGTGCATTTGTTATGTCGTCAAAATCGTTCATTTTTGGACTGTTATTTTCAAAATTAAAACCATCTTTTTCTCTTTACAAAGTTATGCAGTATGGTACACGCTTTTACTATCGAAATAGCTGTATCTTAATTAACGTCTATAGGGCGGTGACAAATTCTTCGTTTATTGGCTAAGATACTGAAACAATAATTAAATATTCGTTTCTTCTTGTCCAAATGTGTTCCTCCATAAAGTCTTATTTTTGTATGTAATGTAAAACCTTCGGTTCTAATAAAGACGAAAAGAATATTTGTTTCTGAATGTTCATCAAAAGATCTGGATTTTGGTATATCCAAATTATCTTCCGTCAACTTTTCCCACAATGTTGTTCTCTTATAAATTGAAGACTCACAATCTTTCCCGTATGATCCGATACTTACATATGTATAAGAAACGAAATCCGGAATCTACAACTGCTAATAATATAATTGAAAAGTAGTCTTTATAATTAAAAAACTATCGAGCCGCTTTTTGGTGGTTTCTTATTTCTTATGTGTTTGCCATCTACGGCACCAATACAATAAGGAAAATTGGCTTTTGTTTGAAGTCTATTCACTATTTTTTCTCATTCATAAGTTTTATTTGGTAAATGCATGAATTCACCGCGAAGATTGTCCCATGTAATTTGTGTGACTTCTTTCACAATAATGCTGATCGTTGAGACGCCTATCCGGTAGGAATAATAAAGATCTTTGAAGGAACACCCAGGTGCCAAATATCTAGAAAAACGTATTAATAACAATTTATATTTTCCAGCTAGATCTGTTGTAAAAAAGTGGATGCAAATAAGAGATTCATCCGGGTCTTGTACTAAACCTTCACTTTATTTATATCATAACTCTCAGGCGCAACAATTGCTCATGAAAGCATTGAAAATAGAGGAAGAAGAAAATAATATGTATAGAGAAAGAAAGAAATAATGTAGGAAGCCGAGCCGTTAGGCACAAACGACGGTTGAACCGTCTCAAAATCGACGCGTTTTACAGGAGTGCTTGTGTTTTGGCAGGTCGCGCGATGCTCGGCGTCACCGGCGCCTAATTGTAAACAGGCGACAGGTGATCGAACCCAGCAGCAAGAGTGAGTGAGTGAGAGCGAGAGTACGAGAGAGACAATAGACATAAGGTGCGATGTCGAATCCTCATCCCTTTATCCCTTGGCTCCCATGCATCCAGATCCTTATCCCAGGTACCATTTTGACCACTGCCTGCGCGTTTATCCACTTTCCCACCAAATTCCTGTCCTATCTCCGGCAGACCTTCAAGCTAATGCACTCTAACCATTTTTGTACCAAATCCTTAAGTTCATTACCTGCGAACTATTGTCCCTGCATTCTTCTTTCTAACCATCGAACCCTCAATCCTAACGAGCTCTGATCATTATCCTTACACATTCCTGGTCCTTACCTAACGGACGCTCTCCTAAATTCCCCCACCCGCAACTCCCAAAAACCCTACTATAAATGCAGTCTCAAAAAAGGGAGGGAAATCAGTCGACATTCAATTACCAGACAGGTTAGACCGTCCATGTTATAATCTCAAAAACCACATGTAATCAAATTATTACAAAATAAAGAAAACTCGTGTAAGAAATGCGAGATTTCGGCGGCGAAGTGGTGGCCTGGACTTTGGATCGAACCCTCAATCCTAACGAGCTCTGATCATTATCCTTACACATTCCTGGTCCTTACCTAACCCGCAACTCCCAAAAATCCTACTATAAATGCAGTCTCAAAAAAGGGAGGGAAATCAGTCGACATTCAATTACCAGACAGGTTAGATTAGACTCAACACAGGTTAGACTCAAAAACCACATGTAATCAAATTATTACAAAATAAAGAAAACTCGTGTAAGAAATGCGAGATTTCGGCGGCAAAGTGGTGGCCTGGACTTTGGCACCCAGGAAGAGAAAGCGCGCGGGTACCTGAGGGTGCCATAAACTAGGCCCTTTCCCCGGAAAGTCGAACGAGGGGGCTCCAACGGTTTTTCGGAGCAACGCCGGATACGACGCGGAGAGGACACTCTTAATATAGCCGTCGAGCGAGACGGACACCGGAGCACTTAGCAGTCGCTTAGAACTATAGTTTAATACATTTTTGGTTAATACCCTATCCTGTGTTAAATTCATTTACGTGGGGGTACTCAAAAGAAATCGAACTTATTTTTTTTTTAACTTATTTATTCAAATTTTAAGCAGAAACCTTCAATCCCCTTCAAATTACTCTCCACTTGCACTAATACACTTGTCTAATCTTTTATTCCATTTTTCAAAACATTGTTTAAATTCATCTTTTGTAATGCTTGACAGCGTCTCCGTCGTTTTTTTCTTCACCTCAGCAACATCAGCAAAATGCTTTAGACGGACACCGGAGCACTTAGCAGTCGCTTAGAACTATAGTTTAATACATTTTTGGTTAATACCCTATCCTGTGTTAAATTCATTTAAGTTGTGCTGACACTCGTAAAATCCAAACCGTCTCAAGTGATTCGACGACAGCGATAACCGCGCAGTCCGTATGTGAGCGAATGTGTGCGTGATTTGGCAATGTCCCTTTTCATTCGAGGAAACAAAAAAAAGTTTTGATCATTTTGGGACTCTTCTTTCAAAGCACAGCATGCTTCAACGCGACCTTGTTTTTGTTCCTCAGTCAGCAGTCGTGGCACAAATTTGTCAGCCAAGAAACATGGAAACATCTTGGGGTGGAACTCAACTTCAGGGGAATCTTGAAGAGGAAATACGATATTACTTCACTGCTACAAAAAATTACACGAGCTCCGTTAAAGCCGCAGCAAAGGCTGCACATCACCCGCGTGTACTTGTTGCCAAATCTTCTGTCAAAATTTGCTGAACTGAACTCCACGTCACTCCCGACAGCTCCACAATTTCTTCAATGGTCCGTCGTCGATCTTTCTCGATGATTTCACGAATTTTTTCAACATTTTCATGTGTTCGGGCCGTGGAGGGACGACCAGAACGAGGTTTGTCATCAATTGACATTTCACCATTTTTGAAACGGGAAAACCACTCAAACACTTGAGTTTTCCCCATAGCATCGTCCTTGTACGCCGTTTTTAACATTTCAAGAGTTTCTGTTCCACTTTTTCCGAGAAAAAAGCAGAATTTCACCACTGCACGCTGTTCACGAAAATCAGCTATTGCAAAAACGACGATCACACAAAACAGTTGCCGCTATAAACTCTGCCGAAACTAGTCCTTACCTTCTTCAGCGATGATAC